TGGGAAGGTGGCTCAGTGGTAGAGCGCTTGCCTTGCATGCCTGAGGCCCTGGGTTCAATTCCTCAGCACCACATAAGCAAAAAGAAAAAAAGCCAGAAGTGGCGCTGTGGCTCAAGTGAGTGGTAGAGCGCTAGCCTTGAGCTGAAGAGCTGAAGGACAGCACCCAGGCCCAGAGTTCAGGCCCCACGACTGGACCAAAAAAGAAAAAAAGAAAAGGAGTTTGCCCTGCACAGGGTCCCCAGCCACATGGCATCCAGTACCTTCTCTACCTGGATCACAGGGATGTGGGCAGGAGATAGACCTGGCCTGGTCAGCATCCAGGCCTCTCCTATGAGGCCACCCAGCCCCTTGTAGTTTGCCTCCTTCCTTCCTTCCTTCCTTCCTTCCTTTCTCTCTTTCTTTCTTCTTTTATCTTTCCATTCTTTTTCTCTTCCTCCTCTTCCTCTTTTTTCTCCTCCTCTTCTTCCTCCTCCTCTCCTTCTTCCTCTTCTTCTTTCTCCTCCTCTTCCTCTTCCTTTTCCTCCTCTCCTTCCTCCTCTTCTTCTTTCTCCTCCTCCTCCCCTTCCTCCTCCTCCTCTTCCTCCTCCTTCTTTTCCTTTTTCATGTAATTTTTTTGCTGCTATTACAAAGATGATGTGCAGAGGGGTTACAGTTGCATAAGTCAGGTAAAGAGATTTTTGTTTTTGGACAATATCCACCCTCCCCTCACTCTGTCCTGGCCCCCCCCCACAAAGTTGTACAGTTCATTTTCCACATAGTGTCTAGCGAGTACCACTGCTGCATTTTTCACCTTTTGTCCTGTCATTTCTGCACCCTCCTTAGCCTCCCAAAGACAGATAAACAAACAAATGAGACAAAAAAGAAAAGAAAAGCAACAACAAAGGAAAAAAAAAGGCCTCTTGTTTCCATTTCTTGGAATTCATTGTGATAAATATTATATTGTATGATCAGGTGCACATTTCACCTTTGGGTTCCTCTCCTAAAAGTATTTTCCTTTGGTCTCACTGTGTGTTAATGCTTAGAGTCCTGTGTAATTTATCATGTCTGGGGGTATTTTAGATCCCACATATGAGGGAAAACATGTGCTGTTTGTCTCTCTGAGCTTGGCTTACCTTACTTAACATGTCCAGGTCCACCCATTTTCTTCTTCTTTATATCTGTAGTGGGACTTGAACTTAAGTCCTGGGGCTCTGTCCCTTAGCTTTCTTTCTACTCAAAGCTGGTGCTCTACCACTTGAGCTATACCTCCACTTCCACCTCTTTGGTGGTTCATTAGAGATTAAGAGTCTCACTAGCCTTTCCTACCTAGGCTGGCTTCAAACTTGAATCCTTAGGCTTCAGCCTCCTGAGTAGCTAGGATGACAGGTGTGAGCCATGGGGTCCTGGGCCCTTTTCAGTCCCTCCTGCCCTTCTCCCTGGCTGGAAGTGGCCTCGCCTGAGATTCTGGGAATCTGAGAATTGAGACTCGCTCCCCATCTTCTTAGTGGCCTTCTTAGGTCTGGTAAGGTGCTGTAGTACACCCAGAGCCCTCCAAGAGACCCTGTGAGCACAGAACCAACTTTGTGTAGGGGGGTAGGGGAGCATGTCCTGTGCTTTAATCAAGTTCCTATTCAACATATTCCCAATGATTAATGGCCCAACTGCTTCATTCTCCGTCCTGAGCTTACAAACAAGATATTTTTAGCTGGGTGCTTTGGGAACTGAGAGAGTAAAAAGCAGATAGATTAAATAAATAACCTCATGTGAGCTTCTCAGAGTACAGGAGGCATCATTCATACTCTCTGTGCTTGTAGATGGAGACCTGGAGGAAACCAGAGAGAGAGAGAGAGAGAGAGAGAGAGAGAGAGAAAGAAAGAGAAAGAGAGAGATAGAAGAGATTTTCAGTTTTTCTGTCATGCTAAATAAAAAATAAGTAGCCACTGGGCTGCGCAGTGGCTCACGCCTGTAATCCTAGCTACTCAGGAGGCTGAGGTCTGAGGATTGCAGTTCAAAGCCAGCCCAGACAGGAAAGTTCATGAGACTCTTTATCTACAATAAACCATCAGAAAACCAGAAGTGGTGTTGTGGCTCAAGTGGTAGAGTGCTTGCCTTGAGCTGAAGAGCCCTGGGACAGTGCCCAGGCCCATGACTGACCAAAAAAAAAAAAAAGTAGCCAGGTGCCTGTGGCTCAAGCCTCTAATGCTAGCTACTCAGGAGACCGAGATCTGAGGATCTCAGTACAAAGCCAGACCAGGCAGGAAAGTCTGTGAGGCTTTTATCTTCAATATACTACTCAGAAAGGGCCAGAAGTGGCACTGTAGCTCAAGTCATAAAGTGCTAGCCTTGAGCATAAAGAGGCTCAGGGACAGCACCCAGACCCTGAGTTCAAGCCCCAGGATCAGATAAATAGATAGATAGATAGATAAGTAAATGTTGGCTGGGCACTGGTGGCCCACATCTGTCATCCTAGCCACTCAAGAGGCTGAGATCTGAAGATCATGCTTTGAAGTCAGTCCAAGTGGTAAAGTCCATGAGACTCTTATTTCCAATGAACCACCAAAATCCTGGACGTGGAGCTGTGGCTTAAGCGAAAAATCTCAGGGACAGCACCTAGGCCTTGGGTTCAAGTCCTACAGAACTACAAAAATAAAACAACAACAATAAAAATAATAATGGCTTGAGGAGAGGGACAGGAGGCAGAGAATAAAGGAAGTACGGACATTGGTCAGGAGGAATTATCACCCCATTGTACAACTATGCAACAACAATAGATAGTAGCAATAATAATAATAATGGCTTTTCCCCACTGTAGATGGAAAACAGAGCTGAAAGATGGGATCAGAGAGATGACACCTGGCTTGCCAGGAAAGAAGAAGCAATTATCGTAGCCTGGGAATGAAACTACCTCCTCCCCTCCCCCCCCAAAAAAGGGCCT